GCAACTGTACTTGGGGTGGATGAACTTCCATAACAGTATCAGATGCATCTCGAGGTAAAGGTCTGAACTCAGAGATAGGGAGAGGATAACACTTGGGAATGTCATGTGGTTTGGGGGTTGAAGGAGATTTGGACAGAAATGAAGGTGCAGACTTTGAAAAAGGGATATGTGGCATCGATTTAAATAAGAGGGGGTGCAGAGATGGTGAAATGTGAATGGGAAGGTGAAGAACTAGGGACAGTAAGAGATGGGGTTGGAACCTCAGAGCTCAGGACCATAAAACGTTGGACAAGAGTTGACTGCAAAAGTAAGGGACACACGCAACTGTGGATGCAGGCACTACCAAGGTCTGGGGCCATCTAGCGACCTTGGAATGAGAGAGCTGTGGGAGTCTCCCTTGGAGGTGGAGATGGGAAACTGCCACATCGTAAGATAAGCTCTCTTTCTCATTAAGACAATGTATCTCCCTTTCTCTTAAGAAAATTGAGTAATGGTGAGAATAGGCAGGGTGCACCTCTTTGCAGTTAAGGCAAGAGGGAGGGTGACTGCAGGAGGGACTGCTATGGTCAGCTGCACTACAGACAGGACATTCTGCCTCTGACCTGCAATATTTTGCAAAGTGGCAGAAGCACCAGCATTTTCTACAATGTTGTGGGGTAGGGATCACCTCCCGGACTTTTAGGTAATGTCATGCTACATAAACAGATGATGGCAGTTCACAGCAGTCTAAAGTTAGTCTTGATATATTGCAAGGATAGCACCTCTGCCCCACAGGCAGGGAGTACTAAGTGTCAACTTTAATGATCGGGAGATTCTGGAGCTCGAGTTGCTCCTAGTCACTGATGTTAGTAGATGTTCTTTATTTGTTCAGCACCCGTTTACTCCGTCCCTTTTCTCTTTGCCTACATTCGCTCGTCTTCTCTTCAGTTACCACCTTTCTATGTTCATGTAGCATCTCACTTTCCCCTACCCCCTTGGGAAGTTCCAATGGTTGTGCCTGTTCTTTCCCACTGCCATGCCCAAAAACCAACTGCCAACAGTGGCTTCTCACTTTTTCTCAACCACTTCCGATCTCATTCTCATGTCATCTCAGTGTACACCAGTGGTTCCAGGTCTTCTGACGGCACTGGAGTCACAGCAATGTTTCCGGACAGAATCATGTGAAGGCATTAATTATCCCCGGCTAGCATTTCTACGGTTGAATTGTATGCCATTCTCATAGCACTTATCCACATTGCATCTATGCCTGTGTCACCATTTGTGGCCATTTCAGACTCCCTTAGTACTTCACAGGCTATACAAAAATTTGATACACCTCATCCTCTGGTTCTTCGTATCCAACTTTGGTTACGCCGTATCTCTAGCAAGCACAAAAAATGTTGTTTTTTGTTGGGTTCTCGGTCATATTGACGTACAGGGTAATGAACAGGCAGACACTGCTGCATGGTCAGCAGTACATGACCTCCCAATTTCATATAGAGGTGCTCCATTCACAGACTATTTTGCTGTAATTGCTACCCACCTTCGCACCTGTTTGCAACATTGATCTGATTTGCTCCATAAGCTACATTCTGTTAAACCAAGTATAGGTTTCTGGCCGTCTTCTTATCATCAGTGTCGAGGTTGGGAGACTGTACTCTCTCCCATCTTTGCATCGGCCACACTCATCTTATTCATGGGTATCTCGTGGAGAGGTGCCCTGTTCCAACTTCTGTTAGCCACATTCTGTTGGACTGCCCATTCTATCAAGCACGCAGAATTTACCTCTGTCGCCGTCACCGCTCTGCTGCCCTTACTTTACCTTCCCGTCTTGCTGATGGACCCTCCTTTAACCCAGACTCTGATGATGATGATGCCTTTCTACCTCAATCTCTTGCTACCCTCTACCCCTGCATCCTTCCCTGCCCGGCAGCGCTGTATGACCCTTGTAAGTTTAGCGTTTCTTTTTTTTTGTTGTAATAAACAAGTTGCTCCAGAATGCCTTCATCACGCGCAAGAAAGTAGCGTTGTATGATCGTATGTGGAAGGATAATAGATCCACAGCAAGAATTAAGGGAGATAGGCTTGCGAATCGTAACTGGTGCATTGTTAATGTCAAGAAGTAAAAGATTATGTGCCTGCTCTGCACTTTGTAGTGACAAAGCAAGTGCTGCTCTTGAACATGGGAAGCAACGTTCTGCCCAACATGGGGAAGGAGTGCCTTACTAATACTGTGGTTGGAAAGATAAAAATTGGTTGGGGTATAAAGAATTTTGTCCAAGTAGGAGTTTAAAACAGTAAGGGGAGGAATTGCTTAGTTATTCACCTGATGAAATCATTCCACCTCTAAATTGACAGATGGGACCATCTCTACTAGCTGTCATGAGAAAGCTGACCTCTCTGCCAAACTCTTTGCTGCTAAGATGCAAGTTCCTGATCCAGCAAGGGAACTTCCTTGGCTAGCAGCAAGAATAGCCAAAGCTGTCAGTGGTGACAACAGAGCAAGTGTATCTTCTTAAACTGCTGAACCAGGAAAAGGCTGTGGGCTCACAAAATGAGCCCAAGACGGCAGAGATGTGCAGACCAGACAGCAGTACCTCTAACTCGTCTATCAGCACAGTGTAAGTGGCCTTTTTTTTTTTTTTTGTGGAAAGAGGCAAATGTCCCTGTTCACAAAAAGACCATAGCAGAATTCAGCAACTACTGGCCAGTGTCACTCCTGTCAAGATTATGGAGAATCTCATGGCAGATGAGTTTTTTGACTACCACTCACTTATTTGTAACCATCAATATGGCTTCAGAAAAGGGTATTCTGCTACTGATCTGTTAAACCTCTCCACTAAGTGGCACCACTTGCTGAATATTCAAAGTCAGCCGTTTAGTAGCACTGGGCACTGCTGGTGCTTTCGACCGAGAATGGTACCAAGGACTCTTGGCAAAACTGAAAGCACTGGGAATTGCAGGCTCTACACTGTCTCGGTGATTACCTTCAAGATAGATCTCTAATCATATCTCGACAGGACAGAGTCAGCAGACAAACCAATTGGAGCAAGCATTCCACAGGGAAGTGTGCTTGGGCCATTGTTATGGAATGTCTACTTCAATGACCATTTCATCCCAGAATCCCATGCATATGCAGATGACTATACACTGACATTTACTTATCCAAGAGAGGAAATGCCAGCAGCTCTAAGTTACATTGATCACCAGCTTACAGCTGTATCAGCCTGGGGTAAATGATGGTAAGTCACATTTGCTCCTGAAGAAACACTGATGATGGTCTCTATGTGCCACGATGGTAATGCTGGAGCAGTGGTAAGAAAGGGAGTGTGTTGGTACCCAGGGACGAAGTTGATATCCTTGGGGTGAAATTAGACTCCAAACTGACCACAAAGAGCTACATTGTAAAACTTGCAAACAAGGCAGCCAGGAAGCTTACTGCACTAACACATCTTGCATCTGCTTGACGGTAGAAATTGCATGATCCCATACGAGGCACAAGCGCACTCGAGTATGCTCCAGTTTCTTGGACTGCCTGGCCCCTCTGACTTCTTGACAGAATAGAGCAATACTATTATTCTTTTGCCTGGACTCAGCCTGAATAGATTATCAGTTCAGCAGAGCCTTCAGCACTGGAGGAATGTGGGTGGCCTTACTATTATGTACAAGGACAATACTGTCAAAGTATCACACTTGGCTCCATTCCAAGGATAGCGAGAAGTGAACTTCTGCACAAGATGGGCAGCAACTTCACTTACTGTACCCTTCTACAGACACATTTCATCAAAGATGATTTATTCCTAGGATGACTAGTCTCTAACATGTTCGTACAATGTAATGAATAAAATCAGTCGATCAAAAGAAATTGCTGGCCCACAGACAGCTGCAGCTCCATATTTGTACATTTAATAATAATAATACCCCTCAAGGAAGGTTCCTTGATGTAGGTGAGGGGCTCTTGATTTAGGGAATTGGATCTGTGCTCCAGTTCCCCGAATTAAGCCTGAATGCCTTCCACATCCCCCCCAGGCGCTGTATAATCCTCCGGGTTTAGCGCTTCCCCCTTGATTATAATAATAATAATAAAACTTTCAAACGAGCTAATGTAGGTAATAGCTCTTAGCTTGTAAATAATGTTAGGAATCCTTACCCTAACCTTGTCAAATCCTCTGTTTAAAAGAGAAAAGGGGGGAATGGGGAGGATGGGGGCAGGGAAGAGGAATAGGGGGGGGGGGGGAAGTAATTAGGTTTGTTCGGAGGAAGAAGACCAGAAGGTCCAATTGCTCAGACCAAGAGCCTCTCCATTACAAGAAGCCCCCCAACTAAAGAGGAATGAGAGGCAAATATTAGATCCATTTGTTAGGGTACATCAGCAGTGCCTACTCTTTGGAGGGTAGGGTTGTCAGTGCATTTCTGGAAAGACCGAGTGAACGTTTTTTGTCTTTGGGTCACCCTGCCTTGGCAGGAGATTGCAGTCATTGAGGAAATAAAAATACTATTTCGAACCGATTGCCCCAGTGGCATTTTTGTTCCCATCTTCCACATGGTTTAAATGTTTTAAGTTTCTTTTCAACATCTGTAATTTACATAAGATTTCTTTCTATTTCTGCAGCATCTTGTTTTAAAATTCAAACATTTTTTCTTCAGCATTCAGTAGTACGTGGATTTACATTTGAAAATGGTTAGTCTAGTCTTGGCATGCTACAATCACCTAGTTAGGCTAAGTTCCAACTAGTACATATAGCCTAAGACATCAATAAGGATTATAATCACCCACATCTAAAGGTAATATGCATTCATGGGGTATAGGTCAGAGCCTGGTCCTGCATCAGAGACCAGACTAGCAGAGTAACCCTCAGAGTAAACTAGTATAGTTCTTGGATCACAAGAGAACATGCAAATTTCCCCAGCACATCAAGGTAGCACCTGTTATGGAAGGAAATGGAATTTCTTTGATAGCTACTGCCATAACTGAACCCTTTTAAATTTTCAACATTAAGGTTTTAAAATAAAACTATGTAAATTGTTAATTTTAAAATAATGTAATAAAAATATAAAATGTACATCAGGACTCACTTGGTCATATAAGCAGTTTATAGAGGATATCTGTTGCTCTACTTTTAAGGAATTTTTACAAGCTAAAAAAAAAAAAAAATCAAATCTTCACGTACTAAAAGCATATAGTGTGTAATTTCACAAGTAGAAACTTTTGTTGGGACAGTACAAAGTTTGTGTAAGACTACAAAGAATAAATAAAAGGTAAATTTCAATAAAATGTTATGATAAACATAACTATTGATCCCTAAACTCTGGTCAATAAGACACGCACAAAAGTACTGACACAGTGTATGTACAAATTTATATAAAATTTTTACCCTGGATAAAAAAAAAAAGGTAAAATCATAAGTACATTCATATTAGAGTACAGGCCGAGTATCCCTTATCCAAAATTCTCAAAGCTTCGAAGTACAATAACTGTTTTTGAGCACTGACATTATGCCACAAATAGAAAATTTCAATCAGTTCTAGGGAGGTTCCCAGACAGTTGTGAAACGTGACCTCGCATACCCTGGTTGGGGCTCCGACACTGCCAGTTTATCATCAATAATCGTCACTGCCAGATCGTTTATTACTCACTTATTACTATATGTTTGTCCTTATTCTCTGCTCTATGGTGTGAAGATATTGCTGAAAATATCAGAAAAGCATGCAGATACCCTTATAGATAACAGTGATAAGAAAAAAGTGTACAGTAGCCATTTAGTCAAGACAATATTGGTGGAAACAAAGCCTGCCATAGTTAGCCAACATCTGGTGTTTACAACATCTACTGCATGTAGTCTGCCAATGCTGTTTTATTAAAATATTATATATAACTACCTTCAAGCTATGAGTAAGCTGTATATGAAATATAAACAGATTTTGTGTACAGACTTGGGTCTCATCCTCCCAAGCTATCATTATGTATTCCAATACAAGAGACATGCCCGGCCCCAAACATTTTGGATAAAGTATATTCAACCAGTACTGTACCTAGAGAAAACATTTTAAAAGTTACTCCAAAGTTTAAATATTAGATTGTCAGTGGATCTGCCTCATTTTTCTGGACATGATTCTTTGAGTAATTTTTTCCCCGTAACACCACAAGGAGCGTTTCAAACTGGCTAAATGAGCAAACTTAAAAATCTTCATACAATTACAGGCAATCTTAGAAGAGAAGAGAAGAGTTCAAGAGCTCTGCACTACTCTTATAATTCCTGTCTCTCTTTACAGTTGCAAGTGCAAATTGGGAACTCTCACTTTCAGATGAAGATGGACTGTCCAAGAGTGACCCAGTGACTTGCAGTCTGGAAATATAAAAAAATATTAAAATTCCAGTAGCAACAGCTCATGGATGAAAAAGCAGCCCAGAAAGGAAAGAAAAAAAAAAATTGGTAGTTCACGAGTTGTGGAATTTACAGAGCCTTAGTACTATACACAAATAACCCGCAAAGAGAAAAAGAACATAAGAACATAAGAAAGAAGGAACACTGCAGCAGGCCTGTTGGCCCATACTAGAGAAAGAGAAAGAGAAAGAAAAAAAAGAAAGAAAGAAAGAGAAAGAAAAAAAGAGAAAGAGAAAGAGAAAGAAAGTGTAGTGAGTGATCTGGCAGAAGGCATAGTCACTTGTCAACCCCTCAGCTATGTTGGATTGTCTGACCACAAGGCTGCTTTTACGACACTTAAGATCACAACAGAACGAGGTAAGGAGTCCACACGCACAACCTGGCTATGGGAAAGAGGTAATTGGCCAGCTCTGAGCTCGCCACCACCGGTTGGAATGCTCTTCTCCAAGGGGATGTTGACAACCAAGTGAAAGCCTTCACTGGACACATCCTTAATCAACAAGAGCACATTCCTCACCGGCAATATGTGACGAAGCCTACGGATCACCCTTGGTTTGGCTTTCGTTGTAGAGAGGCTGCTACTGCTAAGTACAAAGCATGGCGAAGTTATAAGAGACATCCTACCACCTATAACAAGAACTTGCACAGGCAAGCCTGTAGACATATGGGTGACTGAACGTTCAAAAGTGGGCCATTGCTAAATGGGAGGTGGACACTAAAAGAAAGCTAGCATCAGGTAGGGTAGGCTCCAAAACCTGGTGGTCCCTGGTCAAGGACAGACAAGGTTATCTGCCTGATGAACTCATTCCACCTCTAAATCGACGGGATGGGACCACCTCTACTAGCAGTCAAGAGAAGGCGGACCTCTTCGCTGAACACTTTGCTACTAAAATGCAAGTTCCTGATCCAGCAAGGGACCCTCCTTGGCTAGCTGCAAGAACTGTGTCAAAACTGTCAGTGGTGACAATAAGGCAGGAGGAGGTGCATTTCCTTCTTAAATCGCTTGACCAAGAAAAGGCTGTGGGCCCAGACAAGTTGAGCCCAAGATTGCTGAGATGTGCAGACCAGCTAGCAGCACCTCTAACTCGCATCTTTCAGCACTGCCTAGTACAGTGTAAATGGCCCTCTCTATGGAAAGAGGCAAATGCAGTCCCTGTTCACAAGAAGAAGAGCAGAGCAGAAATCAGCAACTACAGACCAGTGTCACTCCTGTCAATCACTGGAAAGATCCTTGAGACAATCTCAAGACAAATGAGTTTTTTTTGACTATCACTCACTACTTTGTGATTGTTAATATGGCTTCAGGAAAGGTTACTCTGCTGCTGATCTGTTGTTAAACCTCTCCACTAAGTGGCACCAGTCACTGGATGAATCCAAAGTCAGCTGTGTGGTAGCACTGGACATTGCTGGCGCTTTCGACCGGGTGTGGCACCAGGGCCTCTTAGCAAAACTTCAAGCACTGGGATTTGCAGACTATGCTATGTCTCCTCAGTGATTACCTTCATGGTAGATCTCTAAGTGTAGTTCTCAATGGAACGGAATCAGCAAGCATCCTAGGGGGCAAGTTTTCCCAAAGAAGCGGCGGGGGCCCATTTTTATGGAAGTCTACTTCAACGACCTTTTTCATCTCATCCCAAAATCACATCAAGCAATGACTGCACACTGACTTTCACTTATCCAAGAAAGAAATCCACTGCTTTTTAAGCTAATAAATCACCAGCTGAGAGCTATATCACTTGGGAAATAGATGGCAAGAAAACTTTTTCACCGGGAAAAACGCAAATGATGTCTTTCCTAGCACCATGATGGTAATGCTGGTGCAGATAGGGAAATGGGAGCGTTTTGGGCACCGGAGAAGAAGTTATACCCGGGGGGTAAAACTTGACTCTAAACTAACCTGAAGAACCAGTTTAAATCTTAAAAACAAGGCAGCCGGGAAGCTACAGCACTTCGCCTATCTCGCATCTACTTGACAAAAGGGGGTTTTGCAAGATTCTGTAGAGGCACGGGTACCCCACACCCTTGTTTTATGCCCCATTTTCTTGGGTTTCCTGCCCCCCCCTCTCATCTGCGACTGCTTGACAGAGTAGAGAACAAGCAAGACATCTCATCTCTCACCGGGACCCCCCGGGATAGTTTTCTTTCAGCAGAGCCTTCAACATAGGAGGGTTGGGGGGCCTTACTGTTATGTACAAGGCCCAAATATTGTCAAAGTACCACACTTGGATCCACATCAGGACAGCGTGAAACAAGCTTTTATGCCACAAGGCGGGGAGAAAGCGCAATTTCACTCCAACTAATCCTATATACCCAGTGACCGAATATGGAACACATCGAAAGCATAATGATGTCAACGAGATAAAGTCAGTTGATCAAAAAAAATGCTGGCCCACAGATGGCTCCAACTTCATCCTGTTCCCCACTTGTATGTCTCATAAAAAAAAAATGCTTTAAAAAATGACGATGAGGTAACAGCTTTTAGTTTTCCAATAAATAGGAATCCTTTAAACCTGTAAAAAATGTCAATAAAGCTAGGGACCCTTTAAACCTTGTCAAACCCGTGAAAAAAAAAAAAAAAAAAAAAAAAAAAAAAAAAAAAAAAAAAAAAAAAAAAAAAAAAGAAGAAAGAAAGAGAAAGAGAAAGAAAGAAAAAGAAAAGAAAAGAGAAAAGAAAGAGAGAGAAAAAGAAAAAGAGAAAAAAAAAAAGAGAGAAAAGAGAGAAAAAAGAGAAAAAAAAGAAAAAAAGAAAGAGAAAGAGAAAGGAAAAGAAAAGGGGAAAAAGAGAGAGAAAAAGAAAGAAAAGAGAGAGAAAGAGAAAAAGAGAAAAAAAGAGAGAAAGAAGAAAAAGAAAGGAGGGGAAAAAAGAGAAAAGAGAAAAAAAGGGAAAAGAGAGAGAAAAAGAAAAGAGAGAGAAAGAGAGAGAAAGGGGAGAAAGAGAGAGAAAAAGGGGAAAAGAGAGAGAAAAAAGAAAAAGAAAGAGAGAGAAAGGAGAGAAAGAGAGAGAAAGAGAGAGAAAGAGAGAGAAAGAGAAGAAAAAAGAGAGAGAAAGAGAAGAAAAGGAGAGAGAAAGAGAGAGAGAGAAGAAGAAAGAAGAGAAAAGAGAAAGAGAAAAAAGAGAAAAGAAGAAAAAGAAAAAAGAAAGAGAGAAAAAGAAAAAAGAGAAAAGAGAAAGAGAAAAAAGAAAAAGAAAAGAGAAAAGAGAGAAAGAGAAAGAGAGAGAAAGAGAAAGAAAAGAAAGAGAGAAAGAAAAGAAAAAAAAAGAGGGGGAAAGAAAAAGAAGGGGGGGAAAAGGGGTTTTGGGGGGGGGGGAAAAAAAAAAAAAAAAAAAAAAAAAAAAAAAAAAAAAAAAAAAGGGGGGGGGGAAAGGGGGAAAAAAAAGGGGGAAAAAAAAAAAAAAAAACAAAAAAAAAAAAAAAAAAAAAAAAAAAAAAAAAAGGGGGGGGAGCTTTTCTCTTTCCCTTTTTTTTCAAACAGACACACCCCTTAAAAGCAAACCCCCAAAACAAGTTCCTCCAAAAATTAAACACCAAATTTTAAAACACAAAAAACACACTACAAAAAAAAATTTTAAAAAAAGCAACCTTGATTTCCCAAAAAATGCCTAAGGATAGAAAAAAACCCACAAAGTCCAAACAATACCAAAAGAATCTCCTCTCTCCTCCTCTCTTTTTAAAGGGCATTAAAAACTTAAAAAAAATATTTTAATCTATCATCAACACACCACTTTTAACCTTTTTAATCATGTCAACTTTTCTTTCATCTAACCACATTACCTTGAATCACTAGCACTATCTTTCTTTGGACCCATGACAACAAACAGGTAATGAAATAACACAAAATAACAGAAAAGGCAAACAAGCACACGATTGAAGCATGGGGAAAAATGAATATGGTATCCCCCGTTTTGAATGAGAACAACAGCAATGCAACAAATGGCAAACTAAACCGATGGACTTTATTTACAATTTTTTCAATGTAAATATTTTAAATTTTATGTAATTTTTTTTTTATCACACTGGCCGATTCCCACCAAGGGAGGTGGCCCGAAAAAAAAAAACTTTCAAAACCCTCATTTACTCCATCACTGTTTGCCAGAAGGGTCTTTACACTACATTTTAAACGCCAAAATTAAAAAACCCCTCCTTTAGGGGGAGGCACTGTACTTCCCCTCCCAGGACTCAAGTCCGGCCGCCGGTTTTCCCCCGAATCCCTTCAAAATGTTACTTGCTACACCCAACAGCACGTCAAGTATTAAAAACCATTTGTCTCCATTCACTCCTATCAAACACGCTCACGGGATGCCTTTGCGGGAAAAGTCCAACCCCCTCGCACAACAAAACCCCTTTTAACCCCCCCTCCCCCCAAACCCTTTTTTTCCTAGGCCAAACCCCTACCCTCCCTTTCCCCCTTTCCACTACAGACTGAAAACACTCTTGAAGTCATTCTTTTTCGCCCCATTCCTCTACAAGTCCGAACCACCTCAACAGCCCTTTCCCCCCCCAGCCCCCCGGGACAACATTTTTTTGGTAACCCCGCACCTACTCCAAAATTTCCCAAAAAAACGAATTCCTGCATTATTTTCAAAACCACAAAAAATTTCCCCTAAACCATGAAAAATCTCCAACTCCCCCTTTTCCAGCCTTCTCCTCGCTGCAACATTCTTTCACCCCATGCTTAAACCAACCCAAAATAAACTTTGGAAAAAACTATCCCTAAATACTTTCCCCCCTTTTGCCCCCAAAGGGACAAAGTTCTTTGCCCCTCCACAGACTCCCTGAAGTCACCACTCACTTTTTTCCCCTCATCAATTCTATGATTCACCCCCATCTTTCATGGGACCCACCCCACTGACATTTCCCTCCCCAAATATCTGAATCCCTTCCCCCTCCCCAAACTCTCCCCTCCAATCTATATTCAATCTTTCATCCCCTAATCTTTTTTTAACCTCAAAACCTTCCCTCTTTCCTGTATTCCCCTTTTTTAATTTTTCCCTTTTTTTTGGGGGGGGGCACCCCAAAACCAAATTAAATTCCACCAATCTCTATGTATATGTAAAAATTTTTTGTTTTAAATTTTTTTAAATTTTTTTTAAAATTTTTGGTTTAAAAGTTTCCCTTTACCCTTTTATTGCAAAATTTGGTATTTTTTTTTTTTAAAAATATTTTTTTTAGGGAAAAAAATTTATTTCATGTCCTTTCATTGTGGCGGGAGATAAACTTTGGGCCTAAGTGCCCGTACCTGGGATGAAATTTGGCCCTTTTGCCAAGCTAAAATTTTAAACCCCTACAAAAGTGGCATAAAGACAAATTTGACGAAAAACTGAAATGACTTTAAAGTGGGGTATGACCATACACTTGAAGAAAAACCCATTTTTCCAGAAAACAAATCATGGCCTAAAAAAGTTATTAAAATTCATCCTTTAAAGGGTAGTCAAAACAAAAAATTCCCCCAAGGGGGCATAGTTTTTGGCACCAGAGGGAGAAAAAAGGTAGAGCAAAAATTTTTAATTAAAGTTTTGCAATTCCCAATACCATAACCTATCAAACACTTCTCATTGCCCAGTGGAAGGCAGAAAAAAAGTCAGGAAGTGATTGGCAATTCCCAAACCCCCGCAAGTAACAAAGATCATGCCATGTACTGAATAAATTAATACATTTATTTTACTACATTTCCTAAATGGTAAAAAAAAATCAATATACAGTGGAAACCCTCAAAAATCCCAACGTAACACATAAACAACAAATTTTAAAAATAGGCCCCCGGGGCAAACGTGCCCTAATTTTCGAAAACCGGCCCCCATTTTCGGACTGCCGGGTACAGGCCGTCTGCCCCGGGCCCCCCGGGCCCCTTTTTTGCGTCCCCGTAGGTGTCTGACATTTTACTTTTTTTAAGCCGAGCGAAAACTAACCTGCGCTCTCCTTCATTCATTTTTTTTGATTATTTTTTTTTTTTAGTTTCTTGTGGTTTTTGAAATAAGCCCGCCATGGGCCCAAAAAACTGCTAGTGGGACCCCTGGGTAAAGAAAGTGAAAAACACCCCTAGATGGGGAAAAGGAAATAATACAGAAGTATGAGAGTGGTTTGAGACTTGTTGGCTTGCCAGGATGTATGGGGAAAAAAAATCAGAGCCATCGGTTCTATCCTGTCAAAGAAAAAAACAAATCAAGGAAGCTGATGTTGCGAAAGGTGTTAATATAGGGAGTGGATGAGGTGCCTTCTTCAAAGATTAAGGAGATTTGTGCCAAGTGGAATGATGTCCAAATGTTTGTGCAAAAGTACCACCCTGAGCAAGCTGAAACAAGCCATCTTTGCAAAAAGTTCAGTGACAGAACCATGTCCCATTTTAGGGAAATGTTAAAGAGGCGCCAGAAACAGAGGACTGTGGACAGATTTTGTGAGAGAGGTCCAGTGACTCAAGCTGGTCCTAGTGGCATTAAAAGACAGAAGGGAAGTAACCCCAGAGAGGGCTTTACCTGAAGTCCTCATGGAGGGGGATTCTCCTTCCAAACACTAACCCCAACTTCCTCTCTCCTCCTCTCTATCTTCCAGATCCCATCACCAATCTTCAATAAGTAAAAATGTTATTTTATATGTATTACTATATATAATTAAAAACTATAGTATCTGTTGTATGTAAAACTGTAATTAATCTCTATAAAATGTATTTTTTGTGTGAATATTTTTGGGTTTCTGGAATGGATTAATTGTATTTCCATTATTTCTTATGGGAAATATTGCTTCGAATTTCAGACTTTTCGAATTTAGAACTAGCTCCTGAAATGGATTAAGTTCGATTTTTGAGGTTCCACTGTACACCCTTTTCAAAACCACCCTATCTTTGGATATACTGTATCTCCATGTCTCATTACAAGGACGCATCACACACAAAACTGAGCACATTTATATATAAATATTTAGCAAATCCCACCTTGGTCTCTTTATATTACTTTCCTGAAGAGGAAGGGCTGTGATGTCAAATGTAGAATTTAAAAGAGTATCTCCTCTGCTGGCCTGAAATAAAAAAAAAATTAGGATGACCTAAGACAGGTTGTGTACAATTAAGCTACATAGTGTTGTTAGTTTTACCAAGTTATGTTAAGTTAGTTTTGGTTCACTAATGAGAACTTATGGTCTAGTGGTGACAATCCTGTCTTTTATAAATGAATTACAAAGAATGAGAGACATAGGCTTTATATCACCAAAAATATATAGAACCTCAGAGGTTACAATCATGACATTACTTCACAACAGACAAGGTTAGGACCTTGAACAGATCTGTATCCAGAATAGAGCTTAATTTGATATTACCCAAATGAACATAAAAAAAAAATTACATTTCTATGCTGACAAAAAGTTGAATGAACTGAACAGTAACAGTGGAAGCATATTCCATACAGGAGTTTAAAAATAGATAAAATTTGGTTAATTCATGTCAATTAGTCAAGAGATGGGGCCAAGAGTAAAAGCTCAACCCCCACAAGCCCCATATGGAAAAGAGAGAATTATAAACAAAAAAGTATCTGAAGGGAGCCCATACTTACATCTGATATACTATTATCTGGAGTTGTCCTATTTTTGCACTTTATGACTTTACATTTACACTTTATGCCACAAGCATTCGTATTCTTTCGACACGCACAGGTTTTCTTGGAACAATCTCCTTTGCACCCACATTTTGTTTCCCCATTGGAGTCACGCTTTAAATAAACCTTCTTACTCCTCTTCACTAAGACTTCATCTTCATTTTCGTCATTTTCAAATGAAGGTCTTAAGCCATGCTAGAGGGATAGAAAAGGAAATATTACAGAAGTTTCAAGAAATGCTCTAACATACTTTAGCAATGCACTCAAGGAGCATCGAGCCTCCACTAGTCCTCACATTGAATGACCCATATGGGTATACCACTTTATATACAGTATAAACAATAGACACTACCATCTTATGGTAATGAAGATGCACTATTTTTATTATGAAAAGTACAGTGAAAGGATGATAGTGGTGAAAAAAAAAGTGTACAGTGGTACCTCGAGTTTTGAACAACTCTCAACTAACAATTATATAAGTGTGTTTTTGTAAGTGCTTTTGTAAGTAATTTTGAGGGGTCTGAAACGGACTAATCTAATTTACATTATTCCTTATGGGAACAAATAGGTTCGGTATTAGCACTTGAACAGCCTTTAAAACGAATTAAGTTCGTAACTCAAGGTACCACTACCTGATTCTAGTAACAGTCTTGTATCTAAAATTAACTATACGACGAGTCTCTTGCTTTATTTATTAAATTGAAAATAATAATAATAATAATAAAAAAAAAAAAACCTGCAACCAGTAAGCTAATTGACCAGGTTAGCAACTAAGAACTTACAGTTATCTGTTTGATTTTTCGAAACAGTGGAGTTTTGCACCAGTCAGGATCATCCTTTGGATCTTCATCAGTTGCTTCTTCTTCAGATTCCGATAACGGTGCATCAATTACCTCTGCTTTCTCAATGGATCTTGGTTTCACATAGGTACGACGAGAATTTTTTGAGCTGGCAGTGCTGTAGGCCACCTGTAATGGCTACATGCCAGAGAGATTTAAGAATAAGAATGAAAAGCATTTCATATGCATCATTATAAAATTTCAGAAATAATACAAGTGAGGACTAAACCATAAAAGATATGGTTAAAATGAAAAAATTAACATTGCAAGAGGAGATAATAGGCTTAAAAAGGTGTGCTCATGCAAAGTTCTAACCATATATAGCTGCAGCATTAAGTAACGGGTAATGAAAATTTTAAAGACAATGTTGCAATACTCTTACCTGACTGCCCCCAGTGATTTTCAGATCTAAAACTGCTTCTTTTAGTAGTTCCTTTCGATGTCTTTCCCGCACTCTTCATGCAAAAAGGAAAGGCGGGAAATTTCTTTTTCCCGGGAATTTTAAAAACCTTTCCCAAAGCAATATCCTTTTTTGTGTCATTGGTCCCCTTCACTCTGAGAAAATATTCAAATTTTATTTGACGGCTGTTTGTAGTTTTTAAATTTTTAAATCATATAGAGGGGAAGGGGAAATGGGGCAAATGTTGCAAGTGTATGGAATGGGTATAAGTTACTAAAACGTAAAGAGTTAGTATGAGGAAAGTGAGGCTCAGGTTAGATTGTAGGAAAAGGGAATTACTTCCAGAAAAAGTAGGTCTTAGACAGGGATGTGTAATTCACCAGGGTTTTAACATTTATAAATGGGGTTTTAAAAGTAAATGTTAGGGTTTTGGGGGAGAGAGGGGGATTAAATTATGGGGAATCAAATACAAAATGGGAGCTTTTTACTTTTGCTGATGATACTCTGCTTTTGGGGGTTTCTAAAAAAAATTTTGCGAAGGTTAGCAACGATTTTGGGGAGGGTGATAAAGGTAGAAAGTTGAAACGAATACAGACAAGAGAAAGGGTGATGGGGGATCAAAAAATTTTAGAAAAGAAAAATGGATATTCATTGGAGGGAGGAAATAGGAAAAATTTAATGTTTTCAGATATTGGGAGTTAACTTTAAAGGGGAAGTAAACTTGTCACCCCTATTCAGGGGGCTGAATGGGGGCTGTTGAGGGGGTTTTTGGTCATTTAGAGAGATTGGAACACAGTAGAACGACTTGGAAGCATATAAATCGTTGGGAAGGAAGGCAGGCATGGGGGTTTGTCCCAAAAAGGGTTGGGGGGAGGGGGGGGTACAGGAGGTTTTGTGGGCGGGGCGGGGACTTCCAGAAAGTGTGTATGAGCGTGTTAGATATGCAGGGAGACGAATGGCTTTGGACCTGACAGCTGTTGGAGGTGAGGGGGTTTAATATTTTTTGGGGGTTGGGTTTTCGGGGAAAACCGGGTTTGCCAGCAAGTCGAAGGGGAACACAATGCCTGCGTTTCAGAGGGTTTAGGATAGGGCAGTTTGGTAGGGCATCTAAACTTTGTATCAGAGTGCCTCTAAAAAGACACTTTATGTCGAGTATGGTAAAAGTGCTGAATATTAAGCTTTTTCTTCCTTTCTGCTTCGGTGGGAAACGGCCAACATGTTAAAAAAAAAATTCTCTTATTTTATTCTGCTTCCCTTTTAAATGCCTTATTTCCTGCTATATCCTGCCTTTGGAAAGCTAATCTAAAAGAAACCACAAAATCCAAAATTAATACCTCGCCAATAACTCGCCCTACACAATTATTAAAAACGGGGACCCCCGGTTTTTTGGCCAACTCGGTTTTTAGACCGGTTTTTTTGGGCTTCCGTTACGCCTTATTTTTGCTTATTGGCCTAGGGGACACTCAAACCCCCCGGGCCCAGCCGCTTCCCCTGTCTCTCGGGCAATGAGGAAGCTTCTGTTCATTCACCAAACATTTTGCCCAAACATCCGTTGTTTTTGGGGGTTTTTGATTAATGCAACTGCAAAGTAAGTAACCTGGCCCCAAAAAGTTCCTAGCAAAGTTCCTTTTTTTAAAGTGAGAAAAACATGGAATTTAAAGAAAATTATTGAAAAATGCGAATGGTGTGGGGGGTGCTGGGAAATTGCCAAAAAGTACGAGAAAAACAAATCAACAATCACTTCCATCCTGCCACTCCTTTTTAACCCCCAACGTCCCCCGCCTCACCTCAAGCGAAAAAAAGCCAAATCTGCAACATGTGACAAAACCTCGTCCCACTTCAGGGGGAAACTTAAAAAAGATCCAGAAACAGACCCCTCTGGACAGTTATTTTGTGTGACAGCTGTGCATGACTCAAACTGGTTTCCCAGGGCACAAAAAAACAAAGAAGAAATAACCCCAAAGGGACTTGTTACCTAAGCATTGTGGAGGGGGGTTCCCCCTTTCAAACAATAAATCCCCCCTTCTTCCAGAAGCCAAAAAGTGTCTTCAATAAATGTATGTAATACGATTTTAAATTTTTAAAATTATTTTTTGTTAATATTTTTTTGGGTGCTGGAACGGGTTAATTTTTTTTTTTTTTTTTCAAAAAGTCGCCGTCTCCCCCCGAGCAGGGTGACCCCCAAAAAAAAAAGAAAACCCCCCCAAAAAAAAAATACTTTCATCACATTCAACCTTTCACCACACTCGCACATTATCACTGTTTTTTCAGAGGGGCTCAGAATACAAAGTTTTAGAAAAAACACAATAAAGATAACAACATATCCCTCCAAAACTGCCCAAAACCCAAACCCCTTTTAAAGTGCAGGCATTGTACTTCCCATTTCTAAGACTCAAGTCCGACTATATGAAAATAACCGGTTTTCCCCCGAATCCCTTTACAAATATTACCCTCTCACGCTCCAACAACGTCAGGTCCCAAATACCATTCCTCCATTACCCTATCTAACACCTCAGCACACTTGCGGAAGTCCAAGCCCCCTTTCCCACAAAACCTTTTAACCCCCCCTCCCAAACCCCTTTTGAGGGCGACCCCTACCCCGCCTTCCTTTCCCCAAATTTAATGCTTCCATGTCTTCTACTTTTATCCATTCTCCTAAAGACCAAACCCCTCAACAACCCCCTCTTCTGCCCTCTGACTAATACTTTTATTTAAATCCACACCTTTTCCAATTTTTCCCCACTCCAATTTTCTGCATAATATTTACACCACACATTGCCCTTAAACAGGACATCTCCACCCCTCCAACCACCCCCCTTTTGTGTGCATTACCACCCAAGCTTCACACCCATAAAAGAAATGTTGGTACTACATACTTTCATACATTCCCTTCTTTGCCTCCATAAATAACTTTTTTGACTCCACATTACCTCAACGCACCCCCCCCTTTTTTTTCCCCCTCAATTCATGATTAACCCTCCTTCATAAATCCATCCTCCGACACTCAACTCCCAAGTTCTGAAAACATTCACTTCTTCCATACTACCCTCCCCAATTTTTATAACAAAATTTTTTTTATCTAAATCATTTTATACCCTCATCACCTTCTTCTTTTCTATGTTTTA